GGAGGGAGAAGAGGAAGGGGAGGAGCGGGGAGTGAGGAGAAGAGAGAAGAAAGGAGGGAGGCTGGAGAGGAACAGGGGGAGTGAGGAGAGGAACAGAGGGAAGAGAGCAGGGAGGAGAGGAACAGAGGAAAGAGAGGAACAGAGGCCAGACAGGGACAGCACTAACACACAGGGTTATCTGGTGTGGACATGCTCCTGTCAGCCTACACATATGGATTGATACAGGTGACTTATCAGGCTCAGTAAAGCCTGAAGGATTTTAAGGGTGAACAGTCAAGGAAATACCTTTAACTTTACTTTTATTGATTGTGAAATTGTCTGTGATAATTTAATACTTATATTGGATATGAACCTTTTTTTTCAATTTTATAATGATAAATCATGTAAACAAAAACAGACAACACAGAAAAAAGAAAAAAAAAATCCCACAACCCACCACTCTCTCAACACTTGTCACAAACTCAAAACTACAGAAAGAAAAAAAAAGCACTAAGCAAACAAGCATTAGTCAGTAAGCCCAGTCGTGTCAAGATGTTCAATAAAGATGCCCATGTCCAAGTCCAGTTGATTCCTCTTTATGGATACGAAGCTTTTTAACTAAAATATTTTATTTATTTATTTATTCTTTTGATTTTGCAAACAACTGTCATGTAGAATGGTCATGATGATTGAAGGAAATTGACATTTTCAAATCCATTTTCCCACATACTGCAGATACAATCACCTCTGCCGTTTACGCCGTGACTCAGTGATATCTATTTAATTTATAATTGCAGGTTAGCGTCACGCAGAGTGACTAAGCTGCTGTGCTACAAGGAAGATTAGTCAGATAGCCTTTTCAATGCTAAACACTGAAGATTTTCACAAATAGCAATAGAAAACCCACCCCCAGCATACATCTGCACACCTGATTAAGATGCTCAAGATATGGATTATGTAACATGTCTGGAGTCATGCAAATATTTTTAGAAGAGGATAAAACTGAAAAATAGAGATTTTCTGAGGCAGCGATTGTCAGACAAAAGAAGTGATGGCAATGACAGCTGTCACCCTCAGAGTCCCACCCGGTTCACTGTTCACAGAAAGACTTCTTCTGTACGTCCCAAATATTGTCTCTGCATTACAGCGAACCCCATGGTGCTACGATGAATAAAGCATGAGGTGAGCACGGACCAAACTTATTGGTTCAGACGAGAGACACAGCCACTTCTCTCTGACCTAGATTTCAGACATGAGGAGTAATTTTGGCTGTCTGCTAATGTGCTTGCCTTTAACTTTCCTTTTTGCTTCAAGTAGCAGTAATTCCTTTCCCCAGGCAACAACTACCTTAGAGTAAGTGGTAATATGCAGTTTATACTGATGTAAATCAGTCAAAAAAGTACTAAAATGAAACTCATAAACCTGTAATGGGCTCACTGTAAACATCTTGAGCCATGTTTGATATCAGCCTGGATAAGAGTTTAAAATGGAAAATGTGCTTGCATAGTTGACATGGTTTACATAGCTCCCACTGAGCAAAGATACTGCTATTTTGGGGCTATTAGCATCATGTTGTGTTGCACCCAGGCCAGACTAAGTGCTACCAGCTTGTTTGCTGCAAAAATAAATCCATAGTTAACATTATTTGCCATTAGAGCAAATCTTCTACATTTGGACCTATACTGTAGATATTTACAAACAATTGTTGGTCAGATTACTTTGCAAAAGTAATCTAGTTACTGACTATTGATTAGCCCTAATCCTTCTAAAGGTAATGACTAATGACTACTCTGATTACTTTATTTCAGTAACTTATAGATACTTAGTCACTATAAGTTACTTTGACAAAAGAAAAACATAGAGCTCAGGAAACAACTCATAAAAAGCAAGAACACAGTGCACACTAATGACAGAATGACTTTCTGTTATAAAACCTCATTACAAAAAGAGGTGACACCACAGCCCTCCTTAAACTAATATTAGTGTTGCTTTGGTTCACAGTTGATCTGTGTCTGACACCAGAAGATCACATCTCATGCTCCTGTTTTACTGGTTTATAACACTGTAATCTAATTACTAATTTTTCTATTGTAACTAGTTACATTACTCTGTTACTAAAAAACAGTCTGATTACAGTAATCCCTTAATGCTCAAGACTGAAAATTATACAAACTACTTTTATTACAACAGCATTCTCTTTTGCTAATTAGTTAAAATACAGATGCAGATGATAAGTTTTTTTTAAAAACAAATTAAATATAATTTGTCATCTATTGTCAGTGTAACTAAAAGTATGTCCCAAAGGTTCCCAAGAGACACTGGAGGGATTATGGCGCTTGGCTGGCCTGGAAACCCAAAAAGAGGAGCTGGAGGAAGTGTCTGGGGTGAGGGAAGTCTGGGAGTCCCTGCTTAGACTAATGTCCCCATGACCCATCTAAGATAATGGTATTTTTAATAATAAAATTGTATTTTGCCTTTGCAAATATTAGACCATTGAGAAGTTCAAAAACACTGTGCCTCTAGTTTGTCAGGAGTTTAAAAGACTTTTCAAACTAGCTGTTTTTCCAAAACTGTTTGTTAATTAATTAATTGTCTTCAGGGCTGAATAGTTGAATTTACCTCATAGCTGTCTCTGTGCGTGCTGTTGGAGATAGAAGATCGGTCGGCAGTATTCTGGCTCAGCACCGGTCCACCTCCGCAGTTTCCATGGCAGCACATAAACAGTCTTCATGATAGTTTACCGGAGAGGGGTCAGATGGGGTTGGGGTCAAAAGGTCAAAGCAGAGGTGTCAGCAAGGAAACATAAAGGTGACCGCCTCCTCTTTCATCTCATCGACAATCAAATGCAGAGCACCAGGTCGATCCAGTCACATGTTTGGAAGATCAATTGATTTCCTGAGGGACAGAGGACTACATTTAAATGAATACAGAAAGACTGAAAGATTACACATATTATGTTCACCAAGACATCTCTCTCATCCTTATTGCCAATCTTGTTTTAAAGGTTTATGTAAGGTTTTCTTATGCAAAATTGACTCCTCCGAGATTTAAGCCGGGTTATAATATTGTTACCTCTTCAAAAACATACCTGGAATTGTGTTTTGTTTCATTCAAGTTTGAGCAACCCTACATGATTAGTCTGGCTACATCTCCAAAAACCAGAATAATAGGCAATTCCAGGGCTGAAATTATCTAAGTGATTCTATTGAAGGTGTATGGAGTTTAAAAACACAGTGGAGCACTTCCTGTATTACCACATGACATCACAAGGTGGCGTATTTTCAGTTTGAGAGATCAACTCAACCTAAATATGCAGGGTTTGTGTGTTAAACCTGTGAATGAAATGAAACACAACTCTGGGTATGTTTTTGATGAGGAAATAACATTATTACAACATAGATAAGAAAATAACGTAATATGTACCCTTTAAAACATACGTTCATCAATATTCAAAATTCTGCTGCTGCACCACAGGGAATATAGGCACATCTACTAATATGAGACCAGCCTGAGGACACCCCTTTTCAACCGCAATATGGATTTTTATGTCTCTGCACAAAGAACAAAGACCCAGTGCCTTGATGAACACCTTCAGTCTGATACCAGTCAACTTCAATCACTCAAAATGTCTGTTCAATGCAGTATTGATAGGAGCTCTGAAACTAACCCAGATACACAGGGTATTATCTGGAAGGACATCTGACACAAATCATGTGTCATTTACTTATAAGATAGTAGTGTTACAGTGGTATCTTAAATGGAAGGCTGGTGGTTTGAACGCAGCTCAGACAACTGCTGTTTGAATATGTACAGGTGTGATGTCTTTCACTGTGAACTATAAAGGTAGGGGTGTAGAATTTGTACTTACATAATTTCATAAGCATCATCCCAGCTACAAGGTGCAAATCAAATATTGCTTTTAATGATGATAGTTGTAATGGTGATTTATTCTTAAATACAGTAAAGGTGGCCAAGTTGTTTTCATTTCATGTTTTAGTTCTCCGAAAGAATGTGGGTTGTTTCAAGGCTGAAATCCAGTTAGTTTAACCCTAAAAGAACTCCATTATCTGCAGCCAATGATGAATACAACTAGTGCTGTGTTTTTATGTTTATGTTTAAATGGTTGTATATATGGATGAAACAAAGGGATGGGGTGGGGGGTTGCTCTTGATTTTTTGCTCTTGATTTTAATTATTGTATTGTAATTTTTCTGTTGCATGTGAAGCACTTTGTGCTACATTTTAAATGTATGAAAAGTGCTATACAAATAAAGTTTGATTGATTGATTGATTGATAGTGCAGCTTCTGTATCCAGGCTGGTGCCACCTTGTGCCTCTGCTTAATTTAATTTCTCTCCAGTGACTAGGTCAGGAATTGGAATACACTAGATGGTTTGCAAGAACTCCACAAGTTGTAGACCACGCACCGGCCAATCAGCGAAGAGCTGTGAAGCCATGATGTCAAACTCAAGCACCTGTCTGGGTCCCTTTGTGGTACAGCACAACAGTAAACAAAGCGATCGAGATGAATGTAGATGAAGTCATACATTTTGTGTTGGCTACGATTACCGAGATCGAGGATTTACAGAATGTTTGGTGAATTTTAGGGGAAAGACGTTATTGCCATTCTTCCTAGAGGATCTGGGAAAAGCTTAATATACTAGTTAGCCCTGTTAGCGTCGCATTACATACATCACAACCAAGTAGCAGGGATTGGTTAAAGAAAAAAGTACCCGCCTACCATCGAGCGAACGAATCCTAATGCTGCAAGGTCAGACTGTTTCCATGAAGTAAAGTCTGATGAATCAAGCTACAGCTTCTGCAGCTCAGTGAGTGAATTCTGGTGGTTCTGATCTTTCATATGAGGCCTGGTCTGTCCATATACTAACAATGAGAAAAACTTGTGTACTGTTCAAATGTGACTGTAGTCACACTCAAGTCATCTTGAGCAGGCTACATAATGTACCTTTAAAAATGAATAAGTACAATAGAAAACAAGTTACAAATAACACAACTGTGACATTTTAGAATATGAAGATTTGTTTTAATTCGAGTCCATTGCATCAATGATTTCCTCAGAAGCCCTGTGATATTTAGAACAGACACAGAGCGGTCCTCCCTGTATTCATGAGAGTCTTTTGTGATTCAAAGCTGAAAGACGTCTCCTTTATTGCATCAACAGTGTGAATATTTTCCTCTTGATAAACAAACAAATCTCCCATGATGCTCCTCTGCTGGCCCGAAGCACCTGACATTTGAGACACAGGGTGACAACAGTCTATTTCAGAGAAGCCCAGCGGTGGCATGCATCAGTCCAGAGGCCACAGAACACAGCGCTAGCCTCCTCTCCTCCAACAAATAATTCATGGCCTTAACATTTATTTTGTTCAAACGTTTTCACCCACTGTCTCCTCTGTGAACCTCAAAGCCACTCAGAGGTCACCCACCGCCTACGGAACGTTTGTGCTCACAATTTGGCTTTCAGGGATTCAAAATGATAAAAAGAGCTATCTTCTTTAAAGGTCCTATATTTTGCTAAATTGACTCGAGTGAGTTTTTAGTCATGTTGTAATGTTGTTGCCTCCTCAAAAACATATCTGGAATTGTGTTTTGTTTCAGTCTCATTTGAGTAATCCTGTATTATTACTCTGTTGACATTTCCAAAGCTCAAAATGCTCTGTTCCACCTTGTGATGTCATGAAGCAGTAGTTTTCAAGTTAACAGGTTTTTTTCAGTAGAGACTGGCAATTTCAGGGCTGAAATTATCCAAATGATTCTAGTGAAGGTGTATGGAGTTTAAAAACACAATGGAGCACTTCCTGTATTACCACATGACATCACAAGGAGGAACAGAGTGTTTACTGTTTGTGAGAAGGACTCAGCCTAAATATGAAGAATATGTGTGTTACAAAATGAAGGATTGCAATAAAACAAAACTCCAGGTATGTGTTTGATTTGGAAATACCATTGTAACAGATCAAAAAATAGTGTAATATGAGCTCTTTAAAGGTGCACTGTGTAACTTTTCTGGTGGGAGGGGCATTATTTTGTATATTTTTTTATTTAAATTTAGATCAGTGTTTGTTCTTTTGATGTTTGAGAGTAGCAATACAGCAGTAAACTAAAAAAAATTAAAATTAGGAGCTTATTTTTCAAGTGAAGACACCTCAGCAACTTCTCTGATGGAGGGTTCGCTACCTACTTGTTTCCATGGATATGTTATTGCTTTACCTGGAATATTCCGTGGTATGACATTAAACATATCCATTCAGCATTTATTCATTACGGGTATTTCTATTACCCAAAAATACATTAATTCCTTCTGTAAATATGGGTGACTCTCCACAGATCTGAACTGTAATGCAGTGTAGTGCTGTAACCTGCTTGTCGTTCTTGTGACAAATAGGTTTAATCTATACTATGGAACATTCTAGACAAAGCAATAACATTTCCATGGAGACAAGCAGGTGGAAGACCTTTAAAGATTGTAAAAAATATTAGCAATTAAATGTTGGAAAGTGTAGTCAACAATTTTCGCCCTTTCGTTTCTTCGGGAGTCCTGAGGAAGGCCGGAGGTCACTAGGTCCATGGGCAAAGGCGCACTGTTCGAGCTGTAGGGGGCAGCCTTGAGGGTGGTGTGTGTGGAACCAGCACAGGCGAGTTTTCAGGGCGCCGGGGGCAACGGGCTTCCTCTTAACGTTCGTGGCAGGCTTCATGTCGCGCCAGTCTCGTATGTGCACCCACCCACCTTCCACTGAAAAACAGAGCACATGGTTAATTTGTTCAAACCCAAATACTTGCTTATTTCTTGGATCTTCATTAAAGGTGCATTGTGTAACATTTCTGGTGGAAGATCCCTCAAATGCTTTTCTCCATAGAGATGTTATTGCTTTGTCTGGGATGTCTCACAGTATGGCATTAGACCTTTTTACCTTCATGGAGACCAAACCAGACTACTGTTAAGTCAGATCTGAGAGGCAACCCTGTTCACAGTCAGAATGCCTGTTTTATTTATTTATTTATTTATTTGAGTAGTAAAACCACATGTAAATGAATAAATGTAATGTAAAGCTGTTTAATGTCATACTGAGGAACATTCCAGGCAGAGCAATGAAATATCCATAAAAACAAGCAGGTGACGGACCCCAACCAAAGTTACATAAAGCACCTTTAAGGGGTAGTTAGTATATGTGTAAAAATGTACATAGGAATGATGCAAAGGAAGTATAACGCAATATTTACTCACATTTGAATGCCCTACCACCTCCATGATGTAACCTTTTCTTAGTTTTTCTTAGAATGTGGTTTGGGATGAGATTTATTGTGCTTGGTTTTGGAGAGTACAGCTCATTAAAAAAACACATCTTCATTTAATTAGAAACAAATTAGAAATACTTCTAGATTGTGTGCTGTTATTTTCACATGGTCATTTATTGACTTGAATGAGGTCATTTTATGAGCAGTGAACATCATTTAAGATGCCAACATCACTCTATAAACTATAAGTGCTTTTAAAGGGCTCATATTATGCTATTTTCTGATCCATGTTAATATTGTTTCCTCATCAAAACATACCTGGAGTTGTGTTTTGCTTAATTTAATAATATGGGCCCTTTAAATTTTTGTTCTTGTTTTATTAAGGCTATTAAAAGTGTAGTTATTATAAAGTGTAACCAACTCGTCTTTTCCACTGTATTGTCCTGCATATTGATACTGCCTTTGACTAAGCATTGTGTACTTGTTAAATACAGTTACTTAGCAACCATATTTATTTCACATCACATACATTACATACACACTACAAAATGTGCCAAATTTCTGGAACTGACACCAACAACGAATTTAAAAAAGCTGTTTGTAAATGTGTGTCCTTCATTTTGTTTTCCATGGTTAACTACTTTTCCAGTACTCCATCTGGTATTGAAGAGATTGAATTGAGGACATTGGCTGCGGTTACATGCGTACTCAAAATCTGATTATGAAGAGATTTTTGGAATTACAAGGCTATTAAAATTACATGTAAACAGCAAAATCATCTAATTTCTTGCTGATCATGGACCCTTCGATTACTCACGTCAGATTTTGTGGTTTGCATGTCTTTTAAAAGGTCCTATATTACGCAAAATAGACTCTTAGGAAGTTAAGTCATGTTATAATGTTGTTACTGCTTAAACATTTTTTGTTTAGTTTCATTCACACATGTTTGAGTACTCCTTTATTATTAGTCTGTCTGCATCTCCAAAGCTCAAAATGCTCTGTTACACCTTGTGTTGTCATGAAGGGGTAGTTTTCAAGTTAACTCCTACATTTTACCATTAGTTCAGTAGAGATTGGCAATTCCAGGGTTGAAATTATCCAAATGATTCTAGTGAAGGCATATGGAGTTCAAAAACACAGTGGAGCACGTCCTCTATCACCACAAGACATCATAAGGAGGAACAGGTGTGAGAGAAGTACTCGGCTTAAATATGCAAGGCTTGAGTGTTAAACATGTGTGAGTGAAACAAAACACAACTCCAGGCAAGTTTAAGATGAGGAAACAACATTATAACAGAGATCAGAATATAGCGTAATATGAACCCTTTAACTAATCTTAAAGGTCAGGAAATCACATAATAATCGGATTTTGGGGTACATTTGGGCATAGCCAGAGCACAGTTTACCTCTGAAGACTTGGTGGTTGTTTTTGAGCAGGGTCTGTAGACCTCCACACTCTTTCTTGAGTCTTTGCAGAGTTTCTTGTTCCAGGAGAGAGGCCACTTCGCCCACAGAGAGGCTGCCTGATGAGAGAAACCACAGACGATGAAAGATAAGAACAGAGTCACAAAGGGCCGCCACGGGTCATTCAATGCAAAATTCATCAGGATATTAAACACACTGAGTAAGGTTAGAGTTGATACGGGAGACATGATAACAGCTATAGGTAGTATCTGAATACGTCTCTAACGTTTTGAACTGTAATTTTGCACCTGTACTTTTTACTTGTCTTTCAGTTATATTATTTCAGGGAGCACTATAGAACTGTTCTGGAGACAATAGTGGATTATATTCATGGAGATCTTACTGCTTTGCCTGGAAACAAATAAGCATTTGCATATAAGCAAGGGCTTATATTAGACAAAATAGATTCTTGTCAAGCTTTTAGCCATGTTATAATCTTGTTACCTCATCAAAAATATACCTGGAAATGTGTTTTGTTTCATTCACACATGTTTGAGTAACACTTTATTAGTCTGTCTTCATCTCCAAAACTCAAAATGCTCTGTTCCACCTTGTGATGTCATGAAGAGGTAATTTTTAACAGTTTAATGCCATACTGCGGAACATTCCAAGCACCAATAAAAAAGATAGCCCCACTGCTCCATACTGTTATGTAGACATTATGAGAAAAGTTGAATGTTTCTTGGACAATATAAAAGTTCTCTTTTAAAGAAGTGGACTAAGGGAGTGTGATGTAACCCGTAGCATTGGGCTCCAGTCAAATGAAGGTCATCGAGGCCAACGGTTAAAGGGGCAAATTTGAAGCCAGGTCCATATTATGAATAGCCAAAAAAACCCCAACCATGATTATGTAGAGTGGGTAAATCCAGACATTTTAAGACCGAAATGACGAGACTCACAGCAGCAGTTACAGAGAGAGGGGTGACAATTTTTCATATAAATAAATTTGAATTGGAAACAGATGGTGGAGCCAGAAGCACCCCCATGTTCTTCCTGTTTGGAACGTGGCAGCTAGCCTATCCTTACTTTATTATATGACATGATATTGCTACATGTTATTTGTTATTGAGAATAAATATTAAAACTTCTGCTCTGCTCTTGCTTACAATGACAGTTTTTGGGCTTCTTCGACTTTACCCACATGACAGTTATAGTTAGAACATTTCAGACCTAGATAGCGTCCAAGTTACAATTTCACAGAGCCAGTCAGGGGGTCGTGAACTGTGCTCAATTAAAGCTTCTCCAACAAGCTGTCAGAGCCACCAGCGTGCAGCATCTCGGATCCTCTTCTGAGACCATGAGTCACTGTCTTCTCTCCCCAAGTGGGACAATAATTTTAGATACCACACATCAAGAAAGGGACAAAACTGGGATCCTGTGATGTTTGGAGCAATGCAACGTATTGATGGAGTGATTTGGGTTCAATTTCAGCCTTTTCTGGCCTTTTTACCTCCACATGAGAATTCAATCATGGCTGACCTTTGGGTTGTATGAACGAGTCTCCTCCTCACGTCTGTACTGATGTATTGGACATGGTCGAGAGACAGCAAGACTTCTAATACTGATCATTTAATTCATTCTGAAGCAAAACAGATGGAAAAATCTGAAGCTGCCATCACAATAAATACACAGGGAGTTATTTTGTTACTAAAGGTCTGTATTACGCAAAACTGACTCTCGTGAGCTTTAAGTCGGGTTGTAATGCTGTTACCTCCTGGAGTTGTGTTTTGTTTCATTCACACATGTTTGAGTAACCCTTTATTATTACTCTGTCTACATCTCCAAAGCTCAAAAATGCTTTGTTCCACCTTGTGATGTCATGAAGCAGTACTTTTCAAGTTAACAGCTACCTTTCACCTTTAGTTCAGTAGAGATCAGCAATTCTAGGGCTGAAATCATTCAATTGATTCTAATGAAAGTGTATGGAGTTTAAAAACACAGTGGAGCACTTCCTGTACAACCACATGACATCACAAGGTGGAGCAAAGTGTTTTCTGTTCAAGAGAAAATCTCAGCCTAAATATCTGGAGTTAAACATGTGAATGAAACAAAACACTGTTTCTGATGAGGAAACAACATTATAACAGATAACACAATATGCTCCCTTTAAAGTGATCCATCTATTATTATGAGATTTGATTCGAGTTTGCAATACTAAAGATAATTTTGTTCAAAGTGAAAATTTTAAATTGGGAGCCTTAACATTTGAGTCAGTTCATCTGAAATATGAACTGACAAACTAATAAAAGAATCCTCTGCATTTTGGAACATATTTGTAGAGGTCTGACTACAGGTACAACAAGATAAGACAGGATTATTTTATTCTTGGCAGAGGATATTTAATTTAAGCCTTTGCAATTTCATAACTCTGCCAAATGCTAATTCTAATTGATTGGGATATTTTGTGCAGCCCTAAAGTCAAGTAAAACACATAGCTAACCCACTAACCACCACGTTCAAAACAAGAAGTGAGCATGGGGGGTGCTTCTGGCTCCATCAACTCTGTTTCTAATTGACTTTACATTGAAAAAGTTTCGCCCCATCTCTATAACTGCTGCAGTGAGCCTCGTCATTTTGGTCTTAAAATGCTTGTATTAACCCTTTCTACGAGATCCTGGTGTTTTTATTTTGCTAATATGAAACTCAGCAAAGTCGCCCCTATAAGTGTGTTTTGTGTTTTATAGAAGAGCTCATCCTAAATATGTAGAGTTTGTGTGTTAAACATGTGTGAATGAAACAAAACTCCAGGTATGTTTTTGATGAGGTAACAACATTATAACAGATCAGAAAATAGAGGAATACAGGCCCTTCAATTTTAATTTTTATGGTTAAGGAACATTTGATTTTAAATGTTTGTCAGTCTAGACCCATGGGTGGACCTCTTCCATATACTCATTTATTTTCTACAAGAGATTCACGTCAGCTTGTCAAAACATATTGTCCACCCAAACTGATCCTAAATATAGCTGGACAAATTGCTTAGTTAGCTTTTCAAGTTTGCATCACACTCCCACATTTACAGACACTTACAATGCCAACATGTAGTGTGAATGTGGGCACTGGGCAGTCCTGTTCTGACGCCAGGAAGATCCAAGCCCTAATATAATATCAATACAGCGTTTAGGGCTGGCCTTTACTGCGGGGAAAGTTAATGGGGATTAATGGGAGCAGGTCGTATTGACAGAACAAGCCCTGCACTAGCGGTTATTAATGCCAAGGATTCAAATACAGTCACACTTATTTAAGATCCAGAGAAAGCAACGTTAAATGTCACAGCGGTCATTTAAGGAAGAGGGGAAAAAGAAAAACATTTCTGCATTGACCAATTAAGCAAAATGGGACAAAAATAAATTTTAAAGACTTAAATCAACTTTTCTGAGTGTTAAAGGGTTCATATTACCTTTATGTTATAATGTTGTTTCCTCATCAAAAACATACGTGAAATGTTTGACGTTTGACGCTAATGTTTAACACACAAACCCTGCTTTAGGTGGAGTTCTTCTCTCAAACAGAACATGGCTTAAATCCCACAAGAATCAATTTTGTGTAAAATAGGGCTTATAAACCATGTTATAATGATATTCTCTCATCATTAACTTACTCAGAGTTGAATTTTGATTGATTTATGTATGTTTGAGCAATTGATTTATGTATGTTTGAGTAACCCTGTGTTGTCCTGTATTCATGGTCGGGTGTTCAGAAAATTGCTGATTTCACCTACCCCCTATCTCCACCCACTGCTCTGTATTTACTTGATGATTAGTCCAAAAGTTCAGATTCTGGGTCATACATGGTTTTCAACAATAAAAATAAGTATTTGAAAAAAATGCCACAATGAAGAGATGGGGCTTCTGCCATTTTAAGCATGAAGTAAATGGACCCATAATCATTTTAGACCAGTATTACTTTAAAATGAACAAAATGTAAAATAATGATCTACTTATGTTATAGATAATTATTATTTATTATATAGATTATAGATAATAGCTAAAGACCTAAAAAGGTATGTATCTTCCTCTTAATAATAGTTAGTAATGCATATGCTCAGTAATTATTTAATATTTCTCAAATTTTAACAAAAACATTTCAAATATTACACATTTTGTTTCGGTTTACATTCATTTTTTTTTATTTCTCAAGCCGAATATGAAATAGGAAACCTAAAAAAGCTCCTCACTGTAGGTTTCCTGTGACTATAACAAACTGGCAATAAACCAAAAGTGTTATGTATTGCTGGATGCTGTTAAAATGAGTAGGAGTGCATGTTTATGTTACATCTAAAACATTTTGAAGCTTTAAAGGTGCATTGTGTAACATTTCTGGTGGAGGATCTGTTACCTGCTTGTTTCTGAGATGTCATTGTTCTGCTTAGAATGTTCCACAGTATGACATCAAACAGCTCTGCCTTACATTTATTACATTTTATAGTTTTATAGCCCAAACATAACTAGAAAAACAGGTGTTCTGACTGTGACTGGGGTCACCTCTCCACAGATCTGACCTGTAACTTGGTCTGGCTTGGTCTCCATGAAGATAGAACGGTTTAATACCATATTGTGAAACACTCCAGGCAAAGCAATAACATCTCCACAGAGAAAATTATTGAAAAGTTATAAAATGTATCCTACAGAATCTTTTTCTACTGTACCCACTAATATCTGAACTACAGTTGCCTCTTCAAATGAGCAAAAGTCTGGGTCACTTGATGGGACAGGGTAACAAAATAGTTCCAGTTCTGCATTATGAATGAGGTGTAATTGTGCGTGCAAGTGCTTGTGAGTGTTTTAAAAGTGTGACTAGGGCAGAAGCAGGGACTATGGGACAAACTGGGCTAGTGACATCTCTCTATTCTATATCCCAATTCTGTTACTTAAGTATAAGTACAGATACAGGGGCGAAAAGTTACTCAAGTAAAAGTAAAAGTATTACATGAAAAAATCTACTAAGTAAAAGTATTTTGCAGAAATTTTTAGAACAATTAAAGAAAAGAATGTAGTGATTTTTATTTAGCTGATTTTAAGTGATTTCTTACTTTGAACTTTGTTCAAAGTTGGTATTA